TGCTTGAGAAATTTCAAACATTAATTAAATGAAGTCGCAGTGTTGATAGCTGCGACGGGCAAACAGCCAGCACACACGAAAATTTATACACATAAATATTTTTATACAAAATGGTATGTGTAGATATGTGTGAGTGCTCAGTAGAAACAATATAAATAAAAATGTGACAAATTAAATTACTTACTTCTTATATGAATGACAGTAATTAATTTTTAATTTCTTATATGAAGGCATTGTCGCGATTTTTTTACTTTTGGATTCGTTATTATTYTTTTATAATTATTTGACACACAAATTTTCGCATGCGATTTTTTTTTTTTTACTTTTGCATTCTTATACTTTTTTTCATATTTATGCGACAAACTTATTATACGCTGTTTGGGGTATAAATAGTACTCACATACATATATAAATAATATTGCAATATTTAGCTTATACCATTCTTATACCATATCGCAAATTTTAGTTAAGTATGAAATTCGTGCAGTTTCCAGTAGTCCAGCCATAGCTTGTACACTTGATTTTACAAATGTAGCAATAATTAAGGCAAGCTTCCTCAACATTGACAGACTAAACAAAATTGTTACGAAAAATCGAAAAACTGCCTGCAATAACAACAACAAAAGCGAATGTGTGTTCTTGTATATTAAGTTGCATTTATTTTCGTCTTCGATACATTTTAGAACAGAACTGAAACGACCTTTGTTGTCTACGAATCATTGGCTGCGCTCACAAACAAAYACACGCACACACAGACAGTCGGCTGGGCACTTCCTACATCTTGGCCTTTTAGCTTGTTTTCTAGCGAGTGCACACACACATTCGCATAAGTAAGAGCTTGAATGTACGTATTTTGACTATTGTTTTCCCAAAAAAAATTACATACTRTATATATGTATGTGTGTGTATGTATGTTTAAGTAACTTCGTAATGCTGTTGCCAATTTCACTTTTCACACGCAGACGACGCTGCTTTTGCGTAATTTTTCTGCAACAACAAAAGCACACACGCGAGCATCGCACATGCTACTACATGCTGCAGCGTAGCAGCGACGTGGCAGYGCCGGGGACTCCGCACAACTAACGTTGGCAAGCATTTGCTGCGTAAACGGCAGTGTTGTGTTGCATAAAAGCTGCTGCAACATGCTATGCACCGCCATTGCCACCACCCTCTTGTGTGCTGTCTTTAMGCAATCTTTAGTTTCTATTCAGCATTTCAGCAATCAACACAGCGGGCGCTTTTCTGCAGCATTACCAATTCTATTTATTTTATGTTGTTTTTTTATTTGCTTTCATGCGATTTAGTTTTAAGAATTTGTAGCACGTGTTAGATATATCTATATATTYTTTATAAGTGTGTGTTGTGGTACACGTTGTTGCAAATTAGGGCCTACCRGATCAACCTGACCTATCTTGTGTGTATATGTACAAACATATGTTCTACAAGGCTTTCCTTCACACTAATTGTTATGGAAATTCAAATGTTTTTTTTGTTTTTTTAATGTGAAGCACAATCGATGGAGTTCTGAATATAAATTCATTCAAAACGCGTCCACAACTTCTTTTGCACGAAAGAATRCAATGAACTCAATTATCGATAACTTTTTCCACTACTAAATCAAGACTTATGTCATAAAGAGCAYATTTAATATTGACCTCTAAAGCTTAAATAGAGTCTGGTTCTTTGCTAAAGACCAATGCCTTCAAATAACTCCACTAGAAGTAATGTAATGGTGTTAAATCACAACTTCTTGGAGGCATATTACAACTTCTTGCAATAATCGATTCTCCAAACTTTTCTCGCAATAATTCGGTTATTGCATATAAAGGGTCTCTTGTTGGAATCATATGGTGTCAAGATCAACTACTTTCAATTTCGGCCATAAAAAGTTGGTTATYATCGAACAAAAAGCRCACCMAACTGTCAAATTAGATGAATTTAATGTTTGTTCAGGAATAATTCATGGATTTTCTCTGCACCAGGATCGAGCGTTTTGTTTATTTACCGTATGACTCCTCATCGGAGAAGATGATTTTCTTAAAAAATTGTTTCCAAGTTGTTGCAAGACAAAATCGACAAATTTACGACGTTTACGGCGGTACAACGGCTTCATTTCTCGGGTGAGAATAATTTTATACGGACGCAAGCACAAATCCTTTCTTAAAATCCGTTAGGTTGTGGTTTGGAGCAGTCCGTAGTCCCAATTCTTGAGAACGTCTTGGAAACGATAAAGCGATTTTAGCAACACTTGCCTCGAGCGGCTCTTTGTCTTATTGACGCTTGATATGGAAAAAAAGTATTAGGCTCGAAATTTTCAACAATTYGAAGAATAGCGAGCACAGGCAAAAGCTTAGGAAACGTTGCAATTGCATGCAAATTTAGGTGACGATATACATATACATATATTATAGTGAGCCAAATAACGAACCTAATGAAATTTTGGGTCTAAATGAATTTATTAGAGTAATAATATCTTCTGACGGTAGGATTTAATTTTAAACGGCGGTGACAACACAGACCCTGTGAAATATATATATTATATATAAATGATGAACTTGTCATTGAGTGTTCGAGTTATCGATCTGAAATTTTGCACATGTTTTCATACTCTCATACTCACTTTTCTCTAAAAGAAGCAGCTTATTTGCGGGAAGCGCCGATATCCTGAGCACAATAGCCTGTGGAACTGATCTTGATCAAAAATAAATACTTGTATGGGGAACTGCTTTTATTTGAAAGAAAATTTTATGAAATTCGCTATGAATTATTGTCTATTACCACACTACAATCTCTGTACAAATTGCTCAGATCGGAGCACTAAAGCATACAGTTGTCATACAAACTGAACGATCAAATTGAAGTTAATTTTGTTATTTGAAAAAATTATGTTAATTATTTCACTATTTAAAGCCAAGAAAAATTTAAATGCATTTTTGCAGTTAAAAATATAGAATAATAGATATATTTAACATATACATATGCATTTTTAAMAAACTTAAAATTTCCAAAAACATATTCAAAAGTTCTATGTCTAAGTATAACAAACTTAAAAAATTAATTTCCATTGTAATGCGCATRATAATTGCGTGTGACATAAAAATGCATTTTTTACGACGCGCATTCGCGTGCCTTGGGTACAGTGCCGCTAGCATTTGTGCAACATGCAGCATAAAGAATAAAATTCTCAATAAAAAGCCTTAAAGTGCATGTCTGTGTATGTGYGTGCGTGTGTTTGTGTGTCRTTTAACTGTACTTGCACTATGCGCCCAATTCTAATTTCAACATGCCATGACGTCTATATTAAAAGGCACCAGCACATAAAGTAGGCCTGCAACCTGCGCCGCCTTTGCYTGTATCTTCTATGTCGCTTTTGCYGTCRAGTGCTTTGTCGTCCACTTTTTACGCGCCAAAATGGCCGGCATGGACAACGTTTTGCCACATGGCCGCACTCATAAAGGCACCAGAATGCACGCACTYTTCCTTGTCTACACCAAWAAATAATAATAACGCTTGCCGTTTTGTTGTTGTTTCGCAATGCGAATACAGCAGCAATAAATCGAGTGAAAATGCTGCGTTAATTACTTTCACGTTTTTATTGTTTATGCGAAATGTTTATGTGTGTGTGCGTTTTTGTATGTGTGTCAACAGTTTTGTGGGATTGTCATTCATTCACCGTTGTCCCTTGCAGGTGTCTAGAGAATTTCGTAATTTTCTGGTGCTTAGTGCGCTTGTAGAATGTAGCAATTAATTCTGAACTAATTGCAATGGCGTCAAATGTGCTCTAATTGTGGACAATGWGAATTTAATTCAGCAAAACTTTTCTAAAAATTTTGTTTTTTCAAAATTTAATATACAGACGTTGCCTTAGGAGCGAAAACGCAAGTACCATATACTAACAAGTAGTTGTCGAAGAGTTAATAAGGAAAACACTAAGCTGACATCGGCAAAACAGCTGATTTTGTCCAACTTGAAGTGTGTTAGAAAACTAAAAGAGTTCCGAGTATGAAGAGAATATGTTACATCTCAAACTTTATCTAGWTTTYTTACCAGAAGKTATCTTYGGAGATCCTAAAAAGCATATACAAGMCYAGCATGATGAYCTGAGTCGATWTAGTYATCCGCCTGGTTGATCGATGGTATTCATTGCCTTTTTGGTTTTAAATTCGGKYATAATTGTGGCTTGAGGCGCTGGTGCATTGTCATCGTGTACAATTCATGAATTGTTCTTCCACAACTCCACCCATTTTCGAGGGATGTTCTCACGTAAACGGTTTAATACGGCCAAATAGAACTCCTTATTGACTGCCGTAATATATTTATGATATACCACACCACGAATACCTAAAAAACAATGAGAAACACGTTGATTTTTAAATGGCACATTCCGATGATTGTTGACTTGTTTGCGTGTCCATCTCATCGGTAGTTATAATGCTCTCAATGTATCCGAATTCGCACGATCAAGCATGCCCAAAGTGACCTGTTTATGGTACTCTTTTTGAAAAAAAAAAAAAAAAAAAAAAAAAAAAAAAAAAAAAAAAAAAAAAAAAAAAAAAAAAAAAAAATTTGCTTTATCGGAACGAGTGGAGCAAGAATGCGTCTTATACCCAAAATATGTACCAAAATCATTCGAACGGACTCGCGAGAGATGTCGATCTTATTGCCACCTCTCTAACATAYGCATGGCGATTTTCAAGCACCATATCCTTAATTTTTTTAATATTTTCATGAGTTGAAGAGGTCGAAAATCATCAAGAACGAGGCATTTTTTCAATGATCTCTCGGCCAGCTTTGAAAGCGTTGTATCACTCGTAGGCTAAGCAACTTTTTGTACACTTTCAAGCTACAGGAAATACCTCTCAGCTAAAGTTAAAGCGTTTGCTCTTGTTTTACAATAGTTTTATATTAAATTTTAAAATTTATTGTTTATAAAATGTRTCATGAATATTTTATTCTAATTAATTTTAATTTAAATATTATTCTCTGCTCTACATTTGCAGTTACTTATGATACTCTGGCATTCTTCCATTTTCCAAACGGTGTTTTAACGTAATACATGCAGCTACAACAGCAATAAACAACAACTACTTAGATTACAATCGTGTTGAACGTAATATATAATTGTGCTAAGGGTAGAATCAGCCAAAGCGTAACAAACAAACAGTGCTTATAGTGGCCTAAAGGCGCATGCGCGCTAACAACAATTGGCAAAGCCAACGTCTGATGCCAATGCGTTTGACCAATAAATTGCTCCACCGCTGTGTGAATATTATTATGGCGAGAAGATCGACGTCTATGCAAAGTGAGAAAAAATGCATTATCAACGAGGAAGACGAAGATGAAAATCAGCGACAATTAAAATTATATTGTGTAAAATATTGCAACAATATGGTGACCTAAATACGTGGTACACGAGAAAAAAAAGTAAAAGCCATAAATAAATCATTATAAATATATTTAACAAAAAATATAAAAAATAACAACAAAAATTAAAAAAAAAAATAATTGAAATGAAATTCGCATGCTTAAAATAAGCGACTTGAAAAAAGTGTATTTTCCAAAATTTCAGAGTCAGCAACAGTAAATTTCCAGTTCAAGAAATCGAGTTTCGAAAAAAGTAAAAGTTAATTGCATTGATTTATTTTGCATACAATCAATAAATTAAACGACAAAAGAAAAATTGCATGCTTTATAACTGTACATGTATATACACAAGTTCATAATATATTATACATACATACATACATCAGCATATATAAAGTGCGAAACGAGTATTTTGGAGTACAAGGTGTCAATAATAAATTATCATTTTGTCAATTCAAAAAATTAAAAACCTGCTAGCGGATTCCCGAATACTTTCCAACAAAATTAAAAAAAAAAAACAATAAAAATACAATAACAACCGGGCCAACAAAACTGCATGACTTTTGGCAGCGCGAAAGCAAGAAGAATAGGATTTAAATACTTTAATACCGATCAAAGTGGCGACTTCTCCACAACGCGCTTCGAGTTTCTGTATCGAGGACTCTCTGTCGCACAATTAATACGACTTAAGCGCCTCTCCCGCCCCAAGCCAAAGTCAAGCGCAACTGACGCGTCTTTCGACCCTCCACAATTTTGTGTAAAAATTTCCACATTTACGCGCGTTCGGTTGTCGGCGAGCGTTATTGGCTTAACGCCGCTTATTTATCTCGTTCATGCGAAGGAATTTACGCGTGTATTGGAGGGCCCTAGCGCTGCTGGGTGCCCTCCTTTCGATAATCATTGATTGGCCGGGCATGATGGTGTGTGCGCTGCCAGTGACGCTATTGCAGCCAACAACAACAACGACAGCAACAGCAAGTGCAGCAACATTGCAACAGCAGCACGCTCTTACAATGGATAAATTATTGGCGGCGAATGCGACTTACGGCGCGAGCGCTGCGCTCCAAAATGCAACAAACACCTACCGCAGCGCTGACAATGCAGTTATTGCGGATGGCGTGCCAGTGAATGGAAATTTCACATTAAATATTAATTTAAATACAAATCGAAATAGTAGCCATAGTAGTCACTATAGTGAAAGTGAGCCGGAGCAAGAGCAGACGAAGCAGGAAGCGGAGCACGCGACGGCGGAATTGTCAAAAAGCCGTCAAGCGAAAAACGCCACCACCATTCTGGGCGCTAATGCGAACAACAAACGCGCAGGTGGCAGCGTAAGCGCGCATCAAGCGCGTGCGCAACATGCGTCGCCAACATCCAGCGGCGATCAGTTGCACAATGCGCAGCGCATCAAAATGCTGAATTTGATATCGAACAAGCGTAAGCGTAAAAAACTCAGCGGCAGCGCACCGGCACAAGAGCTGGATGACAGCAGCAACAGCAGCGGCAGCCGCGCAAACACAGATCAACCGGTGCAAACAACAGTTGCCGGCGATGATCATCATACTACCACAACAACCACCGCCACAACACCACTTAGTTTTAGTGCAAATAGTATTAGCAATAAATATTTAATTACAATTAATAGAAATCCTAATGAAAATCAACAAATGGCCACGGCGCCAAAACGAACGTTAAACAAACTCGAAACTACTACTACTACTACTACTACCACAACGACAACAGCAATACCTAACAATGTTAATAATAATATTGCTAATCGTTATGTTAACTATATTGAAGAGCAAGTGCAAGCCACCATCGATGTTGCGCCCGATGATGAGGCGGCGTCGTTATTTGGTAATATGCTCACCAGCACAAGCGCAAGCGATTATGAGGATCAGTATGAGAGCGCCAGCCGCTCCAGCATAGCCTACTTCTATACAACAGCGTCGCCCGACAATGATGATGCTCTGCGGAGTGCTGTGTCAGCGGCGCCGCGATCTCCCGCCTTCGCATTCGCCTCAGCGCATCACACTGCCATACTGTTGTCGCGCACGGAGCGCAGCRTGCGCCAACCAGCGCCAGCAGCGGTGCAGGCAGAGGTCAGCGCGAGTAGGCGCGCTGTACGCCATCATGGCGGCGCCAATAATGCTGGCATAGTGCGACGTTCCTCTGACGGTAGTCCGAAATCGAGAAGACTGAACAATTTTAGAAACTTAAATGGCAGCAGGCACGTGCCCAACAATTTGGATCGTAACGAGCGCTCGACCATCTCAAACTTGTCGGGTTTGTCGCGCAAAATCCAGATCTACATCAAGAATCGCTTCATACAATTGCTGCCGGACGGTACGGTGAATGGTACACAGGATGAACAAAGTGATTACAGTGAGTACGAATAACTATTTTTGTTTTTTAATTTATTGTTTCATTCGAGTATTATATAGCTGATAACATGTTGTTGATAATTTATGATTTTTGAAAATGAAGAAATCGCTACATGAAGTGGTCTTTTTTTTTGGTAAAAAAGAGACTTGCTTTTATTTTTCAAGATCTTATAATGGGTTCTGGAGCGCTGCTGTTTAGTTTAGTAAACGAAAGTGAAGGAACTCAAGTGTTGATCTAACACGTGGGATAGGTGTATGTAATATCGGCAGAAATATGAAATCAAAAATATATCTTCATATTTCGKTTTATTTCGTAAATTGGGCTAAGATAGAGTTAAATTTTTTATTTATATGAGCAAGAAAAATTGAGAGATATTTTTATGGGAGAACGAGACGGATATAAAAGCGACTTGCTATTCGTTGCCTTCAAAGCTCAGAGGACGCAAAAATATTCAAAATTGAAATAAAATTGAGCTCACACTTTTATTGTTTTTGTACAATTTTCTAAAGTATAAGTTTTACTAACGTTGTTCTTAGGGTTCATTAAACCAAAATTAGGTTAGCGTCTCAGTACTCTTTTTCAACACATTTGAAAGCGTAAATATATTAATTATAGCATTGGTATATTATTGCTGTTTACGCCAAATAATTTTCAATATTATTGCAATGAAAATATTAGAATTAATTAAGACTTAAATTTGCACAAGAAGACTCTGCGAAATATTTATTTTTGGAAAGGAAATCAGTTCCGCTGATGAAATAAATTTTAGTGTGTATATCAATATACTATAAAAGCTTGCATCATCACTTAAAATGCAAAACAACCTAACACCAAAAATTCGAAATTGAGTTTTTTTATTGCTTATGATTCACTACAACATATTACATCCAACATAACCCTTTCATAACCAATAAGTAACCATTTCATAACCAATAAATAACCATTTTATAACCAATATATAACCAATTTATTTATATTTATTAAATCGTGTTTCCTTCACTTTAACTTTATGAAAAGTGTGGTTACTATATACATACATTTTATGTGACTCTGAGTCCATTTCTTTTCGAGATTTTTTCACTTTTCTTAAGCATTAGGGTGGTTGCAAAGCTTATTCTGAAATTACATTTTTTCTTGTTTTATGAAAACGATAACTTTGTGCTTCTCATTATCCGAAAACAAAACTATTAAATAAAACAATATAAATATAAAATATGTGTAAATAAAAAATTTAAAAAATTAAAAAATATATATATATAAAAAAGTTCCATAAAAATATAGTATTTTTTCATAACTTTTGGCATATTTTGTCCGCCTATAATAAATTCATTAAATAATGGCACAAATAAAACCAGTTCATAATAAAAATTTGTCTCCATCATATCACACGATTATCTTTTAGCTTCTCAGCTCCGCAAAGTTCAAATATTTTTTGAAATTTTTGTTTTATAATTACACTCAATACTCACTCATCTCTTTTACCGTCAAAATCACATAAATTTACGCAAATTAGTGGGATTTATGGCTAACTTGTCACTAATGCTCTCAACAAATGTCTAAATTACATATACATATATATTCTTTTGGAACTTCTCCCCCACTGTTTCCACTTCAAATTGGGTAAACATAAATAATTGTCCGCCTTAATCCCGTCTACATCGCTAAAAAAACACTTTCTTTGCGCTCAAAAGATAATAATGACTTTCGTATGCTTTTTTGTTGTTTTTTTTTTTTTGTCCAAAAAAATAGTGTTGCATCGTTTTTTAGACACAACGCTGCTTCATCTGTGGCAGAAGCGTAGAAAATAAATCTTTGACTAATTAGTCATGCTTAAAGTTTATGCTTATTATACTACTTCTAATATGCTAAAAATTACCGGATAAAATTCTGTGTAAGGAAGTTTGTTTTGAAATCATTTCAGCTCTCAATTTGGTTAAACTATTAAGCCTTTTAATTTTTTTTTTTTAATTTTCATTTGAAAACTAAAAAATGCGCWGCGAAAATATTTTTCAGATATTTGTAGTTTAGTATCAAAATAACTTAAAATAATGAATAATGAAAATATTTTGTGAAAACTGCCTTTTATATATCAGACTTCAAGCCTCTGGGCTCTACAGTCCCTTAGTTTTTGAGTAATTGATCTGTAATTTTGAAAACGTCCATTTCTCACTAAGATGCTACTTATTCGTTGGACTCGATGATATCGGACCACTATAGCGTATAGCTGCCATACAAACTGAACGATCGAAAACACATGCTTATATGAAAAACTTTTTCAATTGATGATAAATCTTTACGAAATTTGGCGTAAATGATTAATTAATRTAGTTATGCAACCTCTGCAGAAATTGCTCAAATCGGATCTCTATAGCATATAGCTGCCATAGAAACTGAACAACCAGAATCACATACTTGTATGAAAAACATTTTCAATTCAGGAGATATCTTCACGAAATTTGGCATAGTTCATTATCAAAGGCAAAAATGCAATTTCCGCCTAAATTTTCTACAGCGGATCACTATAGCATATAGCTGCCATACAAATTGAAAGATGGCAATCAAGCTCCTCCAAGGAACATTTTTATTTGAGAATGTTGTAATAACTTCGCTGCAGCCGAATTTAACGTGTTTCTTTTTTTTATAATTTTACTGCTCTTTATTCTTTATTCACTTTTTTCTAATGCATTCAAACGATATATATCAAGACCTTAACGCACTTTCTATGGCAATTGCCACAACTTTTACTCTCATTGCCCTCTAATTAAAAATGTTTGCTCGTGCTCTGAACTTTCATTAAACGAGAAGCCATAAACAAAAAACAATGCAACGAGAAGTCACGCAAACAGTTACAATATCATTGCAACAGCGTTTAAGTAACTGCAATGTGGCAGCAAAGCCAAAGCGGTATCGATATACAATGATCGGCCGTAATAATTCAATCAACATAACCAGAAGTCAATTGACTCATGTTACGAGATACACACGTTGTTGATGTTTATCATTACCAACAGCCATCACTAATACACACACAGGCACACAAAGCATTGAACAAGCGTTCACATGCAGCCAAAAGCGGCAGCAACATCTTTCTGTCGAATTTCAATATGAAAAATGCAAAACCTCAGCGCTGAGTACTGTTACACACACTCATGCGATCACTTCCACAACCCCTACTCTTGTCACAACTTCTCTTCTTGTCGAGGCCGCGAATTTATTATTCGGCTGGCCAAAACACAGCACGGTCGGTGTGTTGGCCATACTCACGTCGCTTGCCGCTTTGCCGCTTTGCCGCCACTGAGCGACTGGACTGTCGTTGGTGGCGCGTTTAAATTGCTCGCGCTCCTGGCGGTTGGCTGATAGCAGGCTAACTGGCGATATGCCGTTGGCATGCGCGCACTCGTATCTCAGCCAACGCAGACTCGGTGGTTGCCTGTCTGTGGGTTTGGAGATTTTCGTTTTGCTTATGCATTGCAAATTTATAAACTGCAAAAATTTGATAACGAACAACACGTACCGTTAATATACAACAACGAAAAGGTAAAAGAAGAATTCCGAAAAGGTGCAAAGAGGGGGGCACAGGTAGGCAGCAATGAAATGCCGATGCCTACAASGGGCCTACAGCATACCAACCACTGAAAAATGCCTGGCAACAAGTGGTACTTTGTTGTTATTGTTGTTTGCTTTGCAATTTTTGTGACGTTGCTGTTGCCATGTCGTTGCCAAAACGGCGCGCTGACTCAAATATAATATTATCATTATCAATTTTAACGGCAACATCATCATTATCGTTGTTGGTGTAAATGTTGTCGTCAGCGTGTCTTTTGTTTTTGTGTTTGCTTTGTTTGGTTTTTGTGATTGACAGCGAAGCKCTCGATATGCCCGCGGCCAGTGGCGATCGATAGCGTGTGAATTTCGGGCATTAAGTGTGGGAAGAAAATTAAGAAAAAAAGTAAAATGAAAAAGTTTTACATTACAACAAAAAATTTTATGCTTTAATATGCTTTCAAGCAAAAATAAAGTAASTCGAAATTTCTATATACATAAGTGTTTTGTTAGTTTTTAGTGGTGGAAGAGCGCCAAAAATGCTTGAAAGCATAATATATATCTTTTGAAAAATTAAAATAAATTTTTTGTAAAAGATTAAAAAAATCTGTTTTCTGCACTAAATGCAAATTTATTAAAGTTACATGGGTTATACGAATTTTTTTTGTTAAGTTAAGACACAACTATGTAATGCCTATATTTTGTTTGAACGTTTTAACATTTTCTAAYTGCAGTTATGCTCTTTTTGGCGTCAAAAATATTATGTTTTTGATAGCTTATTTATCGGTTGTCGGTTGTATAAAWTTCAAATTTTCAGTATTCGGTTCAAAACTGCTGAATATCGAGTTGGGCAATTCTCTGTGTGAAAATAGCCTRAATATTTGCTCTAAATTTCAAAATTTCAATATTCAGCTCAAAACTGCCAAATATCAAGTTATGCTATGCTCTGTGTAAACTGACATACATTATTTTTTGGAATTTAAAAATTTCCATTTTTTTAAAAGTTGAAAAATTTTTTTTTCAAAATTTTCACCACACACAACGTTTAAAATGCAACATTTGAAAATTAAATGTAACCTTTTCTGTGAGACGAGGCCAACTGACCGTTTGTAGCCGCGTAAGCTTTCGCTTTATTGCTCTTAAAATGAAAGGCCGAAGCATTCAACGAAAACTAAAGCAAGTAATAAGTAGAAAAGAAACTAAAACAACAGCAAACAACGCACAACGCGATTGTTTTTTGGTTTCCAATTTTTTTATATTTTTTTGGTGAACGTGCCACCGAGCCTAATGCTCAAGTGTCCGCCGGAGATACAGTCSGCGGTGCGTTATTGGAGTGGCACACATACATGCATACATACATATATACATATGTATATGTTTTTTTCTATTATTTTTTTGGCATTTGATTTCACGATTCCAACACGAGCGCGGCCGTTGAGAGTGGCTGCCTGACCAGT